TGTTATATACCTGGATGACTGAGAAAACAAACTTTGTGTTTTTGAAATTAAATGGAGGGATTTGCTTGCAGTTTGTCAGCAAACCAGCCACTAGGCAGCACAAGCCAGTGTATCTCTTTTGCTGGTCCCAAGCCCGGGTAAATTGTGAAGGTTGTGTCAGGAAGGGCGTCCTACGTAAAACACTTTTGTCAAAAGTAATACTGTATGCGAGTTCAGCAAAGTTAAGTCAGGTCCTCTGGATGATTTCTTTCTGTTGAAATGTTTTGCTTTCATCCAAACACTTCATCAATCCGAGGAGCCACAACAAACTCAGTCTTATAAATGGAACCTTCACATAGAGCGCCAACCAGTTTGATGGCTGAGTTTGCTTGTGGCTTCTCAGACTGATGAAGTCTTTTGAATGAATGAAAAAATGTTTCAACAAAAAGAAACCATCCAGAGGACCTGATTTAACTTTGTTGGATTTTCTACCTGGATTATTGAGCATGAATCAAGAAACATGCATGCACATTTATTCATTCGTACTTATCTACTCACACAGACTCATGTTCTTGCTGCTGTTGTTCGGTGTATTGTTTTGCACTAGTAATGTTTAGCATATTTCTTAGTTTTACGTATTTCTTAGTTTAACGTATGTGGCCAGAACGGGAGGAATTTAAAAGTTTTGTATAAAGCTCGGCAGCACGGTGGCGCAACTGGTAGAGCTGCTGCCTCTCAGCGAGCAGGTCCTTGGTTCAAACCCCGGTCCAGGGGCCCTCTGGGTGGAGTTTGCATGTTCTCTCCGTGCATGCGTGGGTTTTCTCCGGGTCCTCCGGTTTCCTCCCACAGACCAAAAACATGCATGTTAGGCTAATTGGTAACTCTAAATTGTCCCTAGGTGTGAGTGGGAGAGTGAATGGTTGTTTGTCTCGTTTGTCTCTATGTGGCCCTGTGATGGACTTGCGACCTGTCCAGAGTGTACCCCGCCTCTCGCACAGTGATTGCTGGACATGGGCACCAGCGACCCCCGTGACCCAAAATGGAATAAGCGGGTAAAGATAATGGATGGATGGATGTACAAAGCTCAACAACGCAAGCTGGAGGATGTTATGATGCAATGACTTAAAAACACCACAAGTTCAGAAATGCACTTTAACAACAGACTGAGTTCTACAAAAATATAATTTATTAATTCAATTGAAACAGATAATCCTATTTAAAAACCACAGACTTCAGGGATATTATGTGATCCCTGAGGAAAAAGGGGCGTGAGGTAAAGACAAACATTTCAGTTATTCCTCAAAACAAAGCACGCAATAATGCATCAAGCAGATGCAACAAAACAAATAAATCAAATACAAAAAAATCAGAAAATAAATCAGACACTACAAATAGTGGAACAAACTGTTAATGTTCAGTCATGCACCCCATTACAGCAGGGGCAGAGGAGACATGCACTGTCCATTTGACCGGATACCAAAGCAGCAGCAATGGATGGAGCAACCCAAACTAAAAGTTGTCACAAACCAAGACAGCAGAGCATCCCTTGTGCTGGAGCGTTAAGCACAGTGTGGTGCACCTAAAAATATGTCACCACATTATCATTATTATTTTTTAAATCTTGAAATATATCTCATATAGAATTTATTCCATTTTCTACAAAAATGAACAAATTCTATTTTGTTTACATTTCAGCATATTAATTTGCCTGTATTTAGTGTTTTCCTGAGGTTAATAAGTGAGCAGTAGTGACGAAGTGGAACCTTTGTTACGGGGGCCTTGCGTCCAGGTTGGTTTTGACTGGACGAGGCTGCCTCCTTGTGGTGTGACGTTGCACGTTCGTGGTGAGACGTATTGTGTCACTTCCTGTTTGTCTGCTGGTAGCTCAAGTGAATTGTTTGCTCGAGTCGTCTCTGTTTTCTGGATTTATCTGTCTTTTGCACAGTTTTTCATTCTAGTTCACAAACACACTTAGTACAGTTGTTTTTCTACAGTTGGATAGTGCTTAAAACACCTCTTATCTTTATCCTGATGCATGCTCAATAATCCAAGTAGAAAAATCTAAAAAAGTTAAATCTGGTCCTCTGGACATTAAAAAAAAAACAAAAAAACAAATCAACAAAAAAAATGTAGAAACGTTTCGTCTCTCATCCGAGAGACTTCCTCAGTCTGAGGTGCTGTATTCAGCTCAGTCTCTTAAACAGCACCTTCTCAGAGTGGATCAACCAGTTTTGCTGCTGACAACCAAAACCAGCTGATCACATGCTCAAGAAGGACCATCAGCCTTACAATGGATCATTAGCACACTGATGGCTGTTTACTGTTCCCAGAGGGCTGAGTGATACTAGCAATCACAGCATTGTAAAAGGGGGACAGTTGAACCCGGAGGCCTCCACCCCTGTTTAACGATGGACGATTTCTTTTCACAAAGATGGCCTCCTTTACTCCTCTCTCAAACCATCGTTCCTCTCTGTCCAGGATGTGAACATCTTCATCCCTGAAAGAGTGACCGCTGGCCTGGAGATGAGTGTAGACCACAGAGTCCTGGCCAGC